ATGATGATGACTATTCACCAATTGTTTGTTATTAGTCTGTGAGGAGATAAGGGGTCAGAATATAAATCAACTAAGAGCACTGTGAGTTCAGGTGACAATTTTTATTCATAGAAGTTTTTCTTGCAGTATGCTAATTTATATTCTGGTGTAAGTTCCTTATCTCAATGTAAAACATCACTTTAAAAAATTTTTTTTAAGATTTTATTTATTTATTTGACAGAGAGAGACACAGTGAGAGAGGGAACACAAGCAGGGGGAGTGGCAGAGGGAGAAGCAGGCTTCCTGCGGAGCAGGGAGCCCGATGCGGGGCTCGATCCCAGGGCCCTGGGATCATGACTTGAGCTGAAGGCAGACGCTTAACGACCGAGCCACCCAGGCACTCCGTAAAACAGCACTTTGAATAGCACTAGTTTATAATAACTAAAAATTGGAAATAATCCAAAAGTCCACCAAGTAGGTATTTGCTAAGTAAAGTAGAAAAGATCCAAAATAAAATCGTATGCATTCATTTAAATAATGAAATCTACATATATATAGATATGATACATATATATACATACACATGATGGAATGGAAAAAATATTGCAGAATAGTATTAATATGGTAAGAAATGCAAGATGAAAAAGTACAAGTTTGTATATGCATAGAGTTTCTGGAAATAGACACAAGACATTGTTAACCATGGTTATCTTTGGGATGTGGGATTGGGATCATGGAGAGATAGGGTATGGGTTTTTTTTTTTTTTTTATCTTATGCCCCCCTACACTGCTTAAATGTTTCTACTGCTAGCATGTTATGTTTATACTTTTTCAAAACATGAATTAAAATTTTAAATTTTGTTTAAAAGCCATGAATACAAGTCAGATTAGACTCACTGCAGATCAAATTTCCAGAAACTGCCTTTGGGCTGAAATTTATTTCAGAAGACTTACTGAGACAAACTTTACATGAATTTCCATGGAGTCATCCGTGTAAAGATGTAAAAAGCACACCGGCTTGTTTTCCCAAACTTAGAAATTGGTTTTTCTCACCTTAAAAAAAAAAAAGAGTTTATTATGGGCAATACATACACTTCTCAAACCAAATTTTTACCACCTCTAAGATGTGTCTCCAGCCTAGGAAGTGATGAAGTTAGGATTCTGTCCCTGCAGTGTAACAGTCACCTAATTCTGACCGTAACTGTTAAAAAGAAGTAGAGGACCAGAAGACTCTGCTCAAGAAGGCCCAAAGATGGTAGATCACAATATGAACTTGACAAAATCTGGGGGTCTTATATGCTTCATGGAAGCCACAGTTTATATTGCCAAAAATATGGGATATTCGGTCTTACAGAGTCATCTGGAACACATTAATAATCATTAACATTTGTACAGTACATGCAGTTTGCAAAGTACTTTTATATTCACTGCCTTATTTAATCCTCACAATAGATCTTTGGAGTAGGTAAATTTCATAGATCAAATTTTATAGATGCAAACACTGGGTACACAAGACTTATGCTTATTCCCCAAAGTCACCAAGCAGTGAAGAGGCAAAGCCAGGTTATGCCAGTCCAAGTCCTTACCACCACTCCACACTGCTTTCCAAGGCATGGCCGACCTAAGCCGCCCCAGACAGAAGAGTCTGGGCGGCTTGCTTACTCTCGGTGTTTATTTGCATGATGTTATGCTGTTGAGCTGGATGAGTTTAAAAGCAGACCATGGCTGTTGCCACTGTTTGTTAAACATTGCTACTCGGAGCAGGCAGGGATACAGACAGCAGCTTGAGTTCTTCGTCATCTTGAACAGGATCAAGCAGGATGAATAGAGGGAAAAGCAATTCTAGTTGATATGGATGAAGGAAGCTCTCCCACAAGCTATGTTTTCTATTGGCATGTCTGTTCTTTCCTACCTTTGTTATACTTTATCCTTTTCTCTGGAAAGTTCAAGGTAATAATAATAAAATGATCTTTCTTGAAGGTCTCTCCAACTCTGATCCCAACTATTATTACTCCATAGCATTCTTTCATGTCAGATATCTTTCCTTTCCCAAGGCTCTTCATTAAACTGTCTGTATCTCATACGCTATGTGTATTTCTTTCTTGCACACAAACCCTATATAGAGGAATTATAATTATGTGATAATACCTTCCACTTATTAAGCACCTATTAAATGCCAGGCATTGTGGTAGGCACTTCATGTATTGTATGTGATCTCTAAACCTTGTAGCAAATCTACAAGGTATGGACTCATTCCTCTCACTTTGCAGATGAAGAAAGCCAAGCCCAGAGTGACTGAGTCTGGATCTTACGCAGTGAGTGGCAGAGCTGAGATTCAAACATAGATCTGTCTAACTTCAAAGCCAGTAATAATGCTTATTGTATTAGCTTCTCAAAGAAGGTGTTTAGTGAAAATGTTCATTTTAAAGCTATGTATTTTAACAGATAGCATCATACTCTCTTTTCCTCGGCTCTTAAAAGGTAGGTTGGTGGTCTAAGGTGATGAAAATCAAACCTAATACAAATGCAGTGCTGCCATATCATATCCCTTACCAACCTACAGAGACTTACAGCATATAATGGACCCTTCTGTTCTACTTCTTTCTCCACCTGGTCAACTCTCAAAGGAAAACAAAATTCATATGACCATTGAGGTCTAGAAATTAACTTTTATTTTCAATCTGTCAAGAACTCCTGGCAGTTATTAATTTTATTAAAATGATTACATATGGCAAAACAAAGAATAGAGGTAATTCTATTTCTCTACAACATAAATTATGAGTTAGATTCTTAGCTGCTGGCTCAGCATTGTTCAAGATTCTTTTAAAGGATTGGGGGGACTTTAATTTCCAGAAAATGTTAAAGCAGCAAAAGAAAAAATAAATTAAAAGTAATTGCAATTGGAGATATTGCCAAGGATGTGCTAATTATAAAATCTTCTTGATGTGTTTATAGGCCAGATTCCAAGCTTTGGTATTTAAAAAAAAATCATGTGAAAGCTCTCCTATATTGGCTTGTCATCCATAGTTTATAACATAGAACAAATTTGCTGATTCTTTTTAAAAAGATGGCAAAAATGAATGAGGACTAATTCAAATAAAAAACAACCAGCATCCATTCATCTAACTGAAATATCTCAAAACAAAATCAATTTTATTAAAATATTTAATACCAGAATAACTTATAATAGTATGAAAAAGAATGAAGTACTTGTCCTTAGTTTTCTTTGACATGATCACATTTTGACAAAATTAATTTATAAAGATTCCAAAGTTTTTATCATGGATCTGTAACTATTTAAGGATGTAAACCAAAGAACTCATACTTCATCTGATCATACAGTCATAACTTAACATATCTTGCTTTGCATTTACTGTTACTGCAAACAGCAATTTAGAAAACAAAGTAAAAATATATATATACAAAATATTTTTATATCAAATTATTTTCATTACACTAAATAAACCCAATCCCCAAATGTTATGTTACATGAAAAAGTGTCCTACAATTTATATCAAGATTGATATTGTCCATGTATCAACTAGAGCAGCCTTTGGTTTTAAAAGTGTTTTGCAAAATAAAGAAAAATATCACCACATGGCTGCACTATTGGCTCTCATTCACACTCACAAAAAAGCTTTCCAGTTTAGAAAAAAAATTACAAAATAGATTACATACCCAGAAAAAACATCCCACCATAAGAGTCAAATCCTTTTTACTTCTCTGTAGCACATATACTCTGTTATATTTGGCATCTCCACTGTTTATTCAAGTTTCAAGTCTCCCCAAGCTGATTAGAATATTATTGTTTGATTGAAAACTATATTCTTCTTTCTTGATATTGATTATTCTCACTCAATGATAGTTTAATTTAGAAACAAAATGTTCTTTCTTTTAATGCATGATTTCACTTAATTTTTACTTATTTAGTGTGCTACTTGGCAAAATTCAAAGACTGTCAATGTTTTGTTTTCCATATGTTTTAAATTTAAAAACCAATTGTATGTGTGTATACGTATATTCACAGAGATACATTTCTTTCATTGTCTTGTTCTCGTTGCAATACAAATTGTCCATCAGCAATTATAATTTGAAATGAACCAACTAAAAGGTTTTTCAACCATTCCATACGAAACAGTTTCCATCACAAAAAGCACTGAACTCTAATGCAAACAGGATCATGTGTTAAAACTAAACTATAGGTTTAGTTCTACACAGGTACGTTTTGAGTCATTTCTATAATAAAATTTTTAAAAACTTCAGCGAAACTTAAGAAAAAGAAAATCCAAATTAATTCTAAAAGGGCATTGTGGTATTTTTCCAGCAATGCTTGGAAAAAGGTTTTCAGATCACAATGTATTCACTGGGATTCTTCTTATGTGAATCTTCTTATGTGATCGCCGCTCCTTTTCTTTTGGACCTTTGTTGTGTGTCAGATAGGCAGGCAAGAGACATGCATGAATTTCTCACTGTCACTCTGAAAAGCATGCTGAACAATTTTAAATGCTGCAGAAGTGGGTTTTTTTTTTGTTTGTTTTTTTTTTAGAGGAATGTTTCATTTGGGCTGAATAGATTTCCAAGTTTTAACATGTGAATTACTGAATACATCGTGAGGACTTTCAGCGAGTGTGGGCTTCAGTCCTGGAATGGTTACAGGCCCGTCTGGAGTGACACACACAGACTAACAAGCATGGTGGTGGTGTCGTTTGAGGCATAGCTACTCCGCTATGCCCACGTTGTGGCTGATTTTGGGGAAGCAAGGCACTTACTGTAATGGCAATGCAGACACTCGATGCATAGTTTGAGTAACATAAAATAAGTTACTATTTTTGATTAAAGTGAAGTTTTTATAATTTATATGTCTTTTATAGAAGCAACTAAATGATCTAGTTAGGATAATTAAAAATAAGGAGAGGTTTGATAGGGAGTCATTTCCACTTCTGCTTCGGCTCTTAAGGAAGAGGATTTAGGGGAAAACACTGACTTGAAGAACAGCCATTGGTCTGAAAAGCGACAAACCCTTAAAACGGCTGGGCCAGTGGCACTTTGACGGTCTTTACTTCTGCTATATGTGACGACTTCTGGATGATGCAGCTGGTAGTTCCCTGCAGGGTGTCTTTGCCCTGTGCAAGATTGGTTAATGCCATAGCTGCATTAATCTCCTTCCAGTAAGTGTCATCCTTGCTTGGTCCCTTCCTGTTGGCTGCACTGGATTTAAGCAAAAAAAAAAAAAGAAAGAAAGAAAAAAAAAGAAAATGATCAAACTCACTGCAGTGTACATGGAAAATGCCATCAGTGAAAAGCACAAATGGCAGATAATAACATATTTCTCACCTGTCGTCCTTATTGGATCCATTTTCCAGAGTGTCTGTAAAGACAAGCAAAAATTCAATTATTTTTCTTTTTTTCTTTCGGTTTTAATCTCTGGAGTTGCATCATTAATGACCAGGAATAGAAGCTCATTAGGAAATATGGTTGAAAATCAGTTAATTTTTTTTCTACAAAGATAAAGTAGTTTAAATTAAGATACAAAAGAAATCTCTCTGCAAATGGGAAAAGGTAATATAAAATACAAAATAGCTTCTATAGATATACAAAAATCTGACGATTTATTCTGAGAAATTGGGCTTTTTCATGAGGAGGCAAACAGTATAGGGACAAGCACGCTAACTCTTCCTGCGGTCAGGTTCTGGTCTCACTCCCCCACTCACCTGCTGTGTACCTTTGGACAGGCTATGATGTTTCCACAAAGTCTGGGATGCAGTTTCCTCAACTATAAAATAAGGGAGTTCCTAGAACTTCAGGGTGCCTCTGGTTCAATATTCTATGAATGACTTCACGGGAATCAAACTTTTCTCTCAGAAAAGGGACTGACAAACAGTTCCCTCTGGCTAGCTAGCAAATGAGCGACAGATTCAATGTAGCAGCACAGGACTTCTGGCCCTATTAGAATAATAGGGCACCAGTCTTTTAGTGGCAAAGGAACCCCTCATACTGCAGGAAATGAACATTATGGTGTGAGCTTTGCTTATGCACTCTCTCTTTTGGTGTAGATTTCCTCCCTCTCTCAGGCACTAATGTCTACCAAAGCAAACGTCAATATCAAGAAAGATGAAATGGGCTATTGATCTTGATTAAATCTCTCTAGGTAGCTTTTAGGCTAAAAGAATATGGTATTGGCAACACAAAAAGAGACATGCTGGAGGGAAAGATATAGACAGGGTAAAGAGGACCTGCTAGCATGGCATGGGAAGTGGGGCAAAGGAGCAGGGTTGGGACTACCCATCAACCTACGAGACCCCAAAACTAGGTTAAGTCACGACCACCACCACCACCACCACCACCACCACCACCACCATCATCATCAAAAACAACAATAAATATTACCAAGTAGTTACAGAATGAGGCACTTTGCCCTACACAGGAAACATGAAAAACACAATATTTACTCAAGGCCTTCTTCTGGTTCTATGGCTTTTGGAAAGCTGTCTTTTCCTGCCCTCCATCCTCTCCTTTTGTTTTATCTCCCCAACCCAATATTTTTGAAGGCATTTTTTCCCCCTCTGCAATGCTCAAGGCTAGTAAAGTCAGGCGGCATAATTTTCCAGTTCTGGGCTCTAAGACAGTCATGGGACTTGAGAATAAGAGCATCAACATGATCATAATACAGTGTAACCGGGATAAAATTTTCCAAGGAAGATATGGTCAAGAGGAAATGATTATATGTCCATGGAGATGAGGCAGCTAAACTCCTGTGTCCTCTAGGAAGGAAAAGAATTAGAAAAGCCTGTTAGTGCATACTGAGTCAGGCCTCTTGGTGTGGACCTGGGTAAAATAATGGGTCACTATGGGCTTTTTGTACCACCTTTCCCAGGGACCCAGGGAGCTTAAAAAAAAAAAAAAAAAAGAAGAAGAAGAAGGCAGGCAAACAAAACAAAAACAGTGCATAAATGACAAGATTGTTATGAGGAATAAATGAGTTGCTGTGTGTCTGGCCCAAAACAGAACAACAAACGTGCCTTTCTTTGATCTCCTTTCATTTAGGGGTCCTTTGGGGGAAATAGCTCAATCTGTGAGCAGTTGGATGGTCACCCTCTGGATCTTCTGGTCCCTACTAGGTTGGCCTGGATGGTTAGCTATATTTCTGTTGCTCTTGATATTTTTGGAATCATACAATTAACTTATGTAATTGAAGGAAGGGAATGACAGTTTTTAATTCACAGAACTCTAATAATCCTAGTTTACGGATCACTTCCTATGTGCCAGGCAGTAGACTAAGCACTTTGTGTCTTAGCTTATTTTGTATTAGTGACTCTGTATGTGGATAGCATGTCTCTGTTATGTCTGTTAAGTCATTCTTTGTTTCGTACTATTATCTGTAAATCTTTACTCAAGAATGACAGAGACAAGGCACTACCAAAACAGAGTCAAGGCCTTTGTTTAGGAGGAGGAAAGCCAGCAACACTGGCTATTTTACAGAGAGGAAAAAAAAAAAGAGTTAAGCTTTTGCTCAGTTTTGCCCACAAATTGCAACAATTCTGTTGCCAAAGTGAAGCAATAGGTTATGGAGATATTTATTCAATGGAAAGACTTGGCAAAAGCAGAATAAGTTCCATGAAGCTTAAATAACATTAGGGAAATAACAAAACATAATTTAGAAAAGACCATGTAACTGATGCTCTGGCTTACAAACAAAGCAGTCTCACATATTCAAAGGGGACCAGAGTTGGATTCCCTACCTGAACGGTCTACCCGAGAGTGATTACCGCACAGACAAGAAGGAAGCCTGTGGCTATCAAATATGTAAGGGGTTACAGAACCCAGAAATGCCATAAGTGAGTGGAGCCTGCCTGCGAAAGGAGAGCATGGAATTCACTGTTAAGGTCCATGGAGAGCTTCTATTTAAGAGGACGTGTGAACTTGTATGTCCTGCAGCCCCATCAAAGGCGGCTGCCTCCCTGAACTCGTTCCACAGAGAAACAAGCTGACTACAGCCAACTGTGAAATTATAAAATTCTGCTTACTCCTTGGGTGTATGTGTTTTACAGTGTGGTGCCTATGAAAATACCTTTGAAGTGTAAAACATAGATTCCAATCCCTGTGCGGGTGTTCTTAGTTTCACGAATTTCAACAATGTCCCCAGCAGCATTCAAAAGACTACATCCTGCGTTTTATTTCTAAAGCTGATGGGTACGTTCAGTGTCATTAGGTATGGATTCAGGTTCTTTTCCCAGCAACGGAAGAAAGGTCTTCGTAAAAAGCAATAAATAGAAGAGACATTTTGCTTCTCTATCAAGAGCAATGCGAAAACAGTGTGTAACAAAGCTCAATGTCAAACATTTCAAACCAACAAGAAAGAGGTGACTACTACTATTTGGGGCGGAGGGGGGTGGGGAGAGTCTCTGTGTCCAGGGTGCTTTTGGTTCAAAACATAAATTGGTGTTAGAAGGGCATGCTTTTGCTGTTGCTGTTATTGGTGGGTTGCCCGGTGTCACTAGGATATTAGGCATCCAAGAGCCACCTCCTGCAGAGTAGTGCGTTCTAGTTCCCAGAAGAACTAGCAGAAGGAAGATAGCAAACAGGGGTCCTTTTACTCTGAAACATTTGTGCTTTTGTAGGAAAGCAAAGGACAATAAAGATCCGGTGGTTTGGGAAGATTGTTTTTCTAGTCCTTACAATCTAACTCCTTATAGTAAATAACTCTATTAAAGGTGAAGACTTTTTTTTTTCTTATGCTTTTTTTCTTTTTGAAGTGTAAACTTGCTGGCTCTTATCTGATCCAAGTATTTTGTGTCTTTTCAGCCAATAGATAGGTGTGGTGGGTCTACTGACCCACCACCAGTGCTCAGGGGGCTCACACCACTTCTGCCCACTGCAGACAGGTGGTCTCACTGGCTCCTGTCCAGGAGCAGGCATCCAGTCACAATCTGACAGGAGAGGGAAGGATTCTGAGTGCTGCTGAAAAGACAGAAATCTTAAGTCTGAGCAAGAGCAGACATTTCACTGCTGTTAATTAACATGCACAGACTTAGGGTCTGACTGCCCTACATTCAGCTCAGCTGTATCTCTCACTCTGCAAGTAGCTTGGCTGGGCCTCTCCGAAGTCTGAGCTAAAATGCCTTTTTAGATTCTAAGGTTCCAAAAATCAGCTACGCTGTCAATTACCATAAAAGCAACTGGTTGGCAGGAACAACTTATTGAACCAGCCAAAAGAGCGTGTTTTAAGACCAAAAAAGAAAAGGAAAGAAAAAAAAAGAGGTGCGTAGTTAGGAAAATCTTGGATGCCGTAAAACCCAAACCATGTTGAAACTTAAAGTGGGGCTATCCTCAGTTTGGACATGTGTTTCCTTATAAAGTTACGTTGAGAAACAATTATACGGAAAACCACTTCTATTGCAATTCGAGAAGTGTAAGCACCAAGCTCCGTGGGCAAAGTGTCCACTCGACCTTGATAAATGCAACTTAGAAACGTATTAGTTCTGAGATATATTCCTGAAGTAAGAGTTACGGTCATAGAAAGAGACAAAAATATGGCCAAATCTGTTTCTCTGAAATATTTTTTTCCAAATTTTATCAATAAGCCCTGAAGTTAGGAATGTTTAAAAAATATTCCACAAATGTGGAGCAATAACTCACATCACTGAAATGTAAATAAAGAATATGAGTATTTTTAAAAATTAAATAATCTAAAGATCACATACTACATATTTCCCTAAATTGAAATGGAGTGAGTCAGAGCTCCAGACGCTTGACAACTGCGGCCCTTCACACTGTGTCCGTTTTGGGGCCATCACTAGGGACAGCTGATGCGGACAGCCAGGGTTTGGTGTGTTTCTGATCTCAGAGGTCCCAAGAGCCCCCAGGACACCAGATCAGTTTCTGGAGTTATTTACATACTTGGAACAGTTGAGATAAAGAACAAGACTCTGGCGAACCGGGCAGATGGAAAATCTCTCTGAAGCTTACGAAATGCCGACGGCTCTAAATCTACAGGACCTTACCCCAAATGGACAGAGCGATCCCTGGGGTTCCCTGCTCCCACCTCCACAGTCTCTATCTTACTTCCCTACATACTGGATCTAGGCGGGGGTCACACACACACATACAGATTGGTTCCACTGGGACTCTACACTTTCCTTTTAAAAATAACATATGCTATGTTTCTCTAATAAAAAGTCATACAGGTTCACTGCAGAAAATCTGGGGAAAAGTGTAAAAGAGAAAATAAAGGCAATTTAGGGATAACTAATATAATATTTGAATATATGGCTTTTCAAGCAAGCTTATATATGTTTTTAAAAATAGGGTCATCCTGTACATGTTTGCTTTTTTCACTGAACTTCGACTTTCGCCTTATTAATAAATAAG